ATTTATACTTACGTAATGTGCACGTGATTAAGGGTGTGGAAATACCAAAATCGGGTGTGGAAATACCTGTTCCCTAATAATTAATAATATTATTAATAAATCGCATAGTTAATTTTATTCATTTACTTTCAATTTCTAAAGGATTTCTATGCAACATGTATAATAAAAAATATACAAGCTAATTTCTTCCACCTACACTAACATTATAAAGCATTATTTTAAGGTTTTTCTGTTCAACAAAAAAGATTTTGCCAACGTGGCGATCGTAATTTACTTATAACTTCGGTAGGTAAATTGTAATATGAAGGTTGAGGGATTCAGAGGGATTCAACTGATATTGTTATAATACGGCACGAAAACTTCAAGTTTACTTAGTACACTTGACTGGGTTCAAAGTATTGTAACACGTATAAAAAAATTTTTACAAACTCGGGGTATACTCGGGGCGGTCCTACCTTCCAATCATAGGAATGTCTTCCCATGAGACCGAACCGATAGGATCGATAGATACTATTAGAGACCGGACGGACCAATCCAACCCTAATTGTTCATATAGAGTATCTCGATATAGACAAAGATTAATATCTGATATTTTTATAAATGAGCCCAAGAACTCAGAAAACATTCAAAGTAGTAATTAAAAGAAAATCTTTATTGTTAATGATTATTAAAATTACAGTATATTTTATTTTTATAATCTAGGCATTTTAGTTTAGCCTAATTTTGAGTCTATTTTACGATTTTAAGTTAAAAATTCTAGTATTTCCGACCACATATTCCAAATAAATTTTCAAGAAAAAATACAGATACATTAAAAATAAGTGTTAAAAATTTTTTTCAGTAGAAAAAAGCATTGATTTTCAGAGAGAACATACCATTAAACTATCAATTACATTAACACGCAATCTTCAGGCTTTAAGCCATATAATTCCTTCTCAACTTCATGCTTAACTGCAAGCCAATCTTCGCGTTTTTGGCAGAATTCATAAACTTCTTCAGGACGAAAAACACCCTTAAATCTTCCTGACTCTCTAACAAATAAACCAATATCACGTGCGCTAGAAATAATATACACATTTCCAAGTTCTTTAAGGGCAATGAAATATGGCGTGATAGTTTTTTGCTTAAGAGAGGTGGCGAAAGAACAGTAATAGTTTAAATCACTTGGTTGATTGAATATGCATTAAGAAACCAATGCAAACAGTTATTTACAAATTCCTTTTAACAATTCAAAATGTAAACCGATTAATCTTTTTTTATACCTGATAACTTGGAAACCACCATTAATGTTTACAGTGAATTTTTTAAGATGTTTGACTAGCGATCTATATTAAATAATACAATTTATCATGTGCTAGTTTTACGTTTTACAAACAACTCTAAATACTTACCCAAAAAATCTAATCCCGATTTCTTGGAAGAACACATCTAAAGTATTCTTCTCCGAACAACCGATTACCAGTTTAGCATGAGAAGAAAGACACTCTACTGCATGCAGACATGCCTTTAATTGAACCAGTATTCATTAAATAGGTCGATAAGCTTAAATGTTGTCATTAACATTTTATGAATACCTTTGTAGGTTTTAAGTCCAACGGTGTGTTTATCGGGGGATTAAACTCTTCACACCTTTGTTCCGTGCTCAGTATAAATTCTACGGT